ATTTATCATCAGTATAATATAAAACAATCCTCTCGGAGAGAGGAAAATAAACCGATTGCCAGGGCAAATGAATTGATGCTGGTGTTCGTCATGTGAATGGAAAACTATGAAATGATCTACGTAACAGCCAAATTGGCATAATTTGGGTTCTTTTGGCAGGTGTGACTGAGCTTCAAGTTAGGAAGAATCCATCAAAGACTTACATGACATATTGTGAGTCCCACCATATCAGTTACATCTTAGATTGCTACATTTTTGCTATTCTCCAATATGACCACTGTATACAATATATGCTAATTCTTGTGTGTTCAATAACATTTCCCTGTTGAAAAGCTCTATGTGAATGTGGTGCACTCAGTCCAATCTATATCAATATGTACTATTGCTATGGTTCAAAGATCCAGGTATTTCTCAGAACATGTAGAAAGTCATACATGTCCTCTGAGAGCATACCTAGTCACAATGCTGTTCTGATTTTCCTGTTGCACTACATCCTCATATTAACCAAATCTCCACTGGTTCAATTGGCTTACTCCAGCTACAACTTACTGCTGGATAATGAGGGACAACTTCACTCCTTTTACAGGATAACTGTAACTTTTTGCATTTACAGAGTATATGTGGCCTCCCTAGCTATGCACCTTTTGGACAAAGGTCTTTTCACATCTGCTGCCTTCAAGAAGTAACATGAATAGTTACTTTTATTTACCTTTTTTTAAAAAATCACACATATTATATTTGAATAAACAGAAAGTCGACAACTGCAGCTTTAACTAATATTGTGGAAGTGTTGCTTTACCCCTATATATGTAACCAATCTCTTTTTAACTAATTAGATTTTCAACCTCAGCTCCCAGCTAATTATGCCTGGTTGTGCACAATAGAAAGAACTGCCAAAGAGCCATGGTGGGATGAAACTAGAAGCGGGTGAAAAGCTGGAAACTCTACAGACAGTCCTTAATTTCAGCCTTGCACAAAGTTCCTCCTTTCTATGCATATGTTCTTGTTCTGTTCAGCTTGGCACTGCAGTTATCAAAGGCTGCAGGGATATCTTTTAAAAATCAGTAAGGGAGCCACCTTTAAGAGTTGATTCTGCTGTTGAGTTCCAGTCAGGGTTGTCAGCTCACTAATCTTTCCATCAGGCATCTTAAGGCCAGCATGGGGATGGGATGAGGAAAACATGTCATACCAGACTATCTGGAAAGTTTCGTTCTCACTATGTCATAGTGCAAGACTTTCCAAAGCACACAGAATTGGTTGCTCATAAACTTCTGATACCTGAGATGCAGTTGCAAAATCAAAGCCAAGGTTGCAAAAATCCTGATGGGAGTTGTAGTACAATCATTCATGCAATGTAAAGGGATAAGGAGAAGAGCGGTCCATTCTCAGCTTTTTGACAGAGGATACCAGAAAGCTGATGTTTTGCCAACTCACCTGATCTAAAAGATGAAGGCGAGTGACATAGGCCTGCTCAGTTTCCAGTAGCTCCAAAGCTATCTTCTTCTCTTCTGAATCCTGTGAGCAGAGTATCAAGAGAAATAATGTGGTACATTAACAGCAGTTGTAGAATAGAACCAGGGCTCACAAGGTGAAAACCCTGGGATTTCTTGATCAGCAGGAACTATGGCATCATCTGCCACCATTGCTGCAGTCTTCTCTACTCCCTCTGACTTTAGCTGTAATCCTTGCCTGAACTAGTGCAGACTTAAGCAGACTTAACCCAGGACAGTATAATGTCACAAGGTGTCTCTGCTGGAATTCAAAGTATTTGAATATGGATTGAACTTGAATGAGCAACTGAGAGCCATTAACTTTACAAAAGACCTATTCCTCATTTGTTTATATGGACTGATCCAGCTGCCTGAATTTCCAGACTCTTCTTATTTATGGAGAATGGAGTGGAGGGCTGGCTATGGGGATTTTTGGGAGAAGCACTTGCAGTTCCTAATTTTGCACTGCACTGTGGGGGTGCCATTCCCAAGGTTGCTAAACTGTTGGCTTAATCTACAGTAGAAGGCAAACCGTCCTGGATGATGTCACAGTTGCTTCTGAGGGGCATGGCTGCCCACCATTGTTCTTCTTTCTCATAGGTGCAAGAGAGCTTGCATAGATCCTTTCCTTAGGCCAGTTATAATGGCATGATGTAACCATTGTCCTATCTGAACTCTGTCAACTATCTGTGAGCTTGTAAGGATAATAAAAGCACAGTCCTCCTGGGGGCCGGGCAGAGAAGACTTCTCTCTCTGCTTCCTCAGACTAGTCGCCCACCAGGAGCACTGCTGGCAGACATCCCTGTGTGTGTGGCTTACTTCTTTAACTTCTATCTCTATTTGCTATCCTAATTACCTGTGATCACAAAGCCCATGAGCCTTCTCATTTCATGACTCCAACACTGCACAACTGATTAACATCTGACATGAAGAAGTCTATTCTCTTGTCAATGGACTGGACCCAGTCTTTGTGATATTGTAGTAGTCCAGTTGAAATCAGTGGAATGAGTTAATCTTGGTCATCTTAATTACCTGATCTTCACTGTGTCCGGTCTTGAGATCTGACTGAGAGTCGCCATCCTGTCGAATTCTCCAGTTGCCTGCAGAGATCTTGCCTCGAAAAGAGTTGAGGCATTTGACGGTGAGTCCTTTGCAGGTCTTTGTCGGCTCCTTTCCTGACTCCTCACTGCAGGGCCGCTGCTGGTGCTGCACTCGTTCATCTTCACCCATGGCTGCTCTATCAGAACATATTTCTGATGGAAGTACGTTGGACTCTAGAGAACCAGGTCTTCTCTCTTGGCATCTACACTGGGCAAGGATGTGTTTCTGGCCAGGAGTCTGATAAAGCCTTGCCACAGAAAAGGAAAAGCAGTGTTAGAAATCTGAGAATCTGACAGGCCAGGGAACTGTTGTGTTTATCGACTGCAGAAAAACAAGAATCTTGTGGCATCTTAAAGACTAACAAGTAATATTTGGCATAACCTTAGACTGTAGCCCATGTCATCAATCAGATGAAGCATGTATTAGATGCTACTTACTAGAAAAGTACTCTCCATTAAGCTCATTAAGCTACATCTACTCAGACTTCTAAGTAGACATAGGCAGGAATGCTCTATGAATTAACTGAACTAACCTGCAAACCAATTGAACATTGTAGCCATACACAAATGCATGCATCATTAATACCCATAAAGGTTCTGCATCCATGTGCCCTGGAACCATCCGCCCCACATAGACTCACTGACCCTCAAGATGCTCAGAAACATGCTTTGCCTTCCCTCTTTTGCACAGAATCGTCAGGTTATCTGTTGGCCCTTCTTGGAGATGAGGGAAACCTGCCGTCATCTAAAGCTGGGCTGAGAAAGATCTGCCAAATTTTCTGTTTCCACACTGAGTGCGGCTACATCCTTTTTTCTGTTTCACAATCAGACTCCACAGCATCCCCTAGGCTTCCTCATCTGCCTAAAAGCCAACCTACACTTCCTCTTCTTAAGCAAAGTTTCATGTCCCCACAACAAACCACTGCTCAGGATAAACATAGACAGGACTAGTACCCAATGCAACACATTAAAATCACAGTGCTTTGCTTTTGAATGTCCCCACTGGGCCTGAACATCATGTCCTAACAGTCACAGAACACCACCTATGGACAGGGGCTCTGTCTTTACAAGAAGGTATCAGAACTGATGACAGAGAGAAAAACTTCTTTGAATAGTTTCACCTTGAAAAAGTAGAAGCCTGCCAGCAGCTGGGGATGAGGTGTGGGGTGGGAAGCGGCTTTCTCAAATACCCTTTCACAGATTGCTGCCTTGTCATGGCGAAGGGGCTTGAGTAATTCAGAGAAGCTATGGGCTATGCCGTGCAGGACCACCCAAGACGGACAAGACATAGTGGAGAGTTCCGACTAAATGCAATCCACCTGGAGTAGGAAACGGCAATGCCACTCCAGTATCTTTGCCAAGAAAACTCCATGGACAGAAACAAAAGGCTAAAAGATATGACTCTGGAAGATGAGCCCCTGAGGTTGGAAGGCATCCAACATGCTACTGAGGAAGAGCGGAGGACAAGGACAAGTAGCTCCAGAGCTAATGAAGTGGCTGGGCAAAAGCTGAAAGGACGCTAAGCTGTGCACGTGTCTGGAAGTGAAAGGGAAGTCTGATGCTGCAAAGACAACTACTGTATAGGAACCTGGAATGTAAAATCTAGGAACCTTGGGACGCTGGAGGTGGTCAAACATGAGATGGCAAGAATAAACATTGACATCCTGGGCGTCAGTGAACTAAAATGGATGGGAATGGGAGAATTCAATTCAGACGACTATCATATCTACTATTGTGGGCAAGAATCCCATAGAAGAAATGGAGTAGCTCTCATAGTCAACAAAAGAGTGGGAAAGGTTTAATACCTAAACAGCATCTTAAAAAGCAGAGACATCACCTTGCCAACAAAAGTCCACATAGTAAAACTATGGTTTTTCCAGTAGCGATATATGGAAGTGACAGCTAGACCATAAAGAAGGCTGACCACCGAAGAATTGATGCTTTTGAATTGTGGTGCTGGAGGAGACTCTTGAGAGTCCCCTGGAATGCAAGGAGATCAAACCTATCCGTTCTGAAGGAAATCAAGCCTGAGTGCTCACTGGAAGGACAGATCCTGAAGCTAAGGCTCCAATACTTTGGCCATCTCATGAGAAGAGAAGACTCCCTGGAAAAGACCCTGATGTTGGGAAAGTGTGAAGGCAAGAGAAGAAGGGGACGACAGAGGACGAGATGGTTGGACAGTGTCTGCGAAGCTACCAACATGAATTTGACACAACTCCGGGAGGCGGTGGAAGATAGGAGGGCCTGGCATGCTCTGGTCCATGGGGTCACAAAGAGTTGGACACAACTTAATGACTAAAGAACAACAAATTCGAATCAGCCTTTGCATCACTTGGTAAGTAAAAAAAAGACTTCATATTCACCCATTTTATATGTGGAGAAAATCTCTCAGGATTTGACCATATAGTTTCACTTTTAAAGGGGTGAAGCAAAAGGAACCTCTTTTTAAAAACCCTAAAGGACACAAATCAATACTTGAGCCTTCCAAAACATAGAAGGCCATACATCAGTCTGACTCAAGCAAAACACAAATAAAGGAAGACACCAAATAAAAACAGGATGAAATTATTTCAATAGAGATGCTGTTCTGGTGAAGAAAAGCTACCAGGTGTACTGTGAGGCTTCAGTGTTATTACTCTGATAAGACAGTCAGGCATTGTCGCCGTTAGTATCGTGATATTCAGAGGAACATTTACAACAAGGAGGTATAGGTTTATGCCATTAAAACATAAAAGATATGTATGGCTTTGCAATGCAGAGGGCCAGAAAAATAAAGCCGTGAAGTGGGATAGTTGCTCATTGCTGCATTACATATATTTTTTCTTAAAAGGAAGATGTCATTTATAGAGACCGTATAAAAAGTTACAAGATAATCAGTTAGCTCTAAAAGGTTTCTGTTACAACTAGGGGTAATGTTAAGCAAAAATAACAAAAACGGCAGATATTTGGGAGCTCAGTTGAAAAGGTTCAGTGTGGACCAGTCAGCAATGCAAAAAATGTAATTTCAGAGTTAGAATGGAATGTCTGTTTTTAATATACAGTATATATTGTCTTCCCCCAATTATACAATCAGCAATGATTGTATAATTGGGGGAAGACAGTGAGAGAAGGCCTGTACTCCAAGTATTCGGCCCTAGAAATGTTTGAGCCCCATCCGTTTGTTACTATCTTGCTTCAAAAAAACACAAACAAACAAACAAACAGAAAAAAACCACTTTCCTATTATTTATTCAAGACAGTGAGAGCCAGTAGGTGCAGCTGCAAGGTATTTCTTCCTTCCCTTTTAGGAGATTAAATAAGTTCCATATTTTTATCTGTTTATTCAGCATGAGGATTATACCAGATGAGATATTTACAATGCAAGGGTATGATCAAACCATGATATGGTGTAACTAAAAATAGAACTGGAATCAAGACTCTGAAGACAGATAAGTCACTTTAAAGTAACTAGAGAATTTATTGGGAAATCACAATGTAGTTCTGGTAATTGAACAAAAAATCTTCTGTAAATCAACAACTTCCACAATCTACTTTTGTCAAATCAAACAAAATAGTTGGCTGAAGCAGTAATGCTAACTATTTCTTTTCTTTCATATGTATGCCTTGAACTATAATTTGCATCTTTGTTTCTGTTGTTTGTTTCCTCCTTTTGAGGACTTCCTTGTTTTATAAAAATATAGGAACACTTAGATATTAGCTTTGGAAAAGTAAAGTCTGCACCTACTGAACAAATTAAGGAAAGAGAAAAAAAATAAAAGCCAACATATAAATAAAAAAAGCAGTTAACAACTACATAACTTCATGGACTCACTGAAACAGATCGGCTTCTCAACCAATTCTAGCTGCATCTCTAAGGAAAACGTAGTGAATCATAATTTAAAGCTGTTTCTTGAAGAGCCAGTCTTGCATATTCCAAAGGGTTCCTTGTAAACCTACCCTAACATATACTGCAGATGTACTGCTCAGATTTTCCTCCTGGGAAATACATTCCAGGATCAGATGCTTTCTAGCAAAAGCTGCTCCTAACCAAGCAGAGTATAATACCATAACTTTCTTTCCATAATTGACATTCTGCATAGTCCACTTGGGTAACAAGTATAAGTAGAAATGTTAGACTTTTAGAAAATGGTAGGACTGAGCAGGAAAATGACAGTTTCAGTAAATAATAGCTATAATGAATAAAGAGGAGAAAAAACACAGCTTCTAGCATTTATTTCTATGGGGGAAATAATATGAAGTCTATCAGCAACCATTACTAAACCATGGTTAGATTCACTATATAGTATGTGAATGTGTTGCAACCATTAACTATGTGTGGATGCATGTGCATGGACTCACATGCACATGAAGACTTTATAAGTATTTAATATTTTTATTATCCTTAAGTGTTCATAGCCTGAAACATATTTACATCCTAGATTATTGTTTCTGTGGTGCGTAACAGTGGCAAAACAGACTTTAGGATTGTACATTCCTAATTATGTTTCCCAATAAGATCTGTAAGTGCAGACCACATTCTCAGCTAGAACTAGCAACAAATTTCTTAAAGAAACTTAATAAACAGAAGTAAGTTTGAATGACATTTGTAGTGACTATCATTGGGGGGGTTGGGGGTGGGAATCTCGCAGAGCCAGGATTTGGGCACTTGGCAGTATTTTTCAAAGGTGTAAATATACTTCTTAACAAACAGAAAATTATTCTATTTTACTCCTGAGCTACCTCAGACCATTCTGCTTTTAAGACCTGATTTACATACAGTCCTTCCTCACCCCGCCCTGCCCTGTACCTGAGCTTCTCCAGTACACCAATGAGGTTAACCACAGAGGTAGTGGGATTGGTCTGCTTCTCCTCCATCAGGCTGAGCATTTCTACAGATCAAAAACTGGTCCTTGAAATTTGGAAGCTATGTTCAGGAAAGGATCCACAAGAAAAGGCATTGAATTCATGATAGCCCAGATTCTCTCTTGCTTTACATATTTCTCAGAATGTGTTTTTGAAACCACATGACATAGCACCCAACAGCTTGCAAATTTTTGCCCTTCTTTGTGAGCTTTTTCAAATATTGTAGTAGATAATATTAAGAGGAAGTAAGTACAGTACTGAAAACAGAACTCTGAAGACAGCAGACTTTACAGAGCTTTTGGTAAGATCTCTGTATTGTGTTCATTTAAGATCCTCTCTCATTCAATGCAAATTCTAGCCTGGTTAGTTATGCCTTGCATGTATTATTCACTTTTGTTCCAGCTTTGACTTCTCTGCTGGAACACAGTCACATTCTAAAGTAAACCTAAGTTGCAACTGGAGTAGGCCCATTTGAATCAATGGAATTTACAGAGGAGTTGCCTTGCCAAATCCCCACCAATTCAATGGGCCTACTCTAGTGTGACTTTATTACACTAAGCAATAGGATTTCAGCTTTTGGGTGCATCCTGAGAAGGTGAGGCTCCCTAGGAAAAACAAGAATGTTGGGACAAATGAAAAGCAGCAAGAAAAGAGGAAGGCTGTATAGGAGATGCAGTGATTCAACAAAGGAACTCATGGCTTTGAATTTGCAAGACCCAAGCAGGGCTGTTACTGTGATCTAGTTTGTAAGGTATCACAAACTGAAAGCATCATTTATGCAGCACTATCCCACCTGAAATTTTAAAAAAGGAAAACATATTTTTAAAAATAAAAAAACGTTCCCAATTGGGAAATCAGCAATTATGCCTGCTGTCCAAACTGTTTTTGTTTATTATTATTCTTAATAAGTTGTTAAAATTTAGCTCTGTATCACATAGGTACAGGAGTTTTTCTCTCTGCAAGGTGTATAAATGCATAAATATTTGCCATAAGTCCCACTCTATCATCTGAGGAAATGGATCTGAAAACAAAAGCTCTTATTACAATATAGCAGTTAGTTTTCAAGGTGCCACAATGTTTTTGCCTTCTTAATTTTTTTATTTTGTTGCAGTTTTGTTTACAGCTCCATATGCTATCTGTATCTTGATTCACTGGGAGAGATTTTATTGGGCTGGGGTGATTGTCTATCACTATTCAAACTTTTGAATTCAAAGAGAGCCCCACCTCTTTGCTGAATATTCTGTCCCTCCCCTTTCTCCACTGTTGCAGGGCTTTTGTTATTGTTGCTCTTAATTTGTTCAATTAGTTGCCAGTATATGTGCTGTAAAGAAAATAGTATACACAAGTTAGTAATTTCAAGGAACTGTAAATAAAGAGACCTTTTAAAAATTCCTTCTCTAAATGTATCAAAGTGAGTTATTGAGACTGTAAGTGACTGTAAGAAAGGGGTGGATTATGGGGAACTTGTAGCTATTCCTCACTGTGGATCTATGCATTTCTACTGTGTAACAAAAAGCGAATTTTACCAGAAATTCAAAACTCTGCAACATGCAGGTGTTTCTTCTCCTGGTCTCAACCATTTATATTATAATATGTGGTTGTAATTTTAGAAATTGAGAACCTTGGTAAGTTGGATGTGGCCAAACAGGAGATGGAAAGAATAAACATTGCCATCCTGGGATATAGTGAACAAAAATGGACGGGAATGGGCGAATTTTACCAGAAATTCAAAACTCTGCAACATGCAGGTGTTTCTTCTCCTGGTCTCAACCATTTATATTATAATATGTGGTTGTAATTTTAGAAATTGAGAACCTTGGTAAGTTGGATGTGGCCAAACAGGAGATGGAAAGAATAAACATTGCCATCCTGGGATATAGTGAACAAAAATGGACGGGAATGGGCGAATTCAATTCAGATGAGTATCATATCTACTATTGTGGGGAAGAAGCCAGTAGAAGAAATGGAGTAGCCCTAAAAGTCAACAAAAGAGTGGGAAAAGCTGTACTGGGATACACTCTCAAAAATAATAGAATGATTTCAATACGAATCCAAGGCAGACCTTTCAACATCGCAGTAATCCAGGCTAATAGAGTTTTGTCAAGAGAACAAGCTGGTCATCACAAACACTCTTTTCCAACAACACAAGGGGCGAATCTACACATGGGCATCAGCAGATGGGCAATACCAAAATCAGATTGATTATATTCTCTGCAACCAAAGATGGAGATGCTCTATACAGTCAGCAAAAACAAGACCTGGAGCTGATTGTGGCTCTGATCATCAGCTTCTTATAGCAAAATTCAAGATTAAACTGAAGAGAGTAGGAAAAACCACTGGGATAGTC